ATCACACAATTCAATCAAGTACACAACTCGCGTTTATTTATTATACATCATAGAAACGTCCTTGGAACAGTTATGAAAATAGCACACTAAAATACACAGCAGCCAATCACACACAGCCATAGATGGGAATTGTAATCTCAAGGTCAACTGATCAGCCCATGCTGGTAAACGTGAAATCCAAAATTAAAGCATTTATCAAGCGAGTTTTGGGGATCTAACATCCCCAACACAAAGAGATACTTGAAACCGGTAATATGATTGAAAATAGTGTTAGTTAGACAGTCATTTTTGATAAATAATTGGTAAACTAAGTACATAAATCTCTTTTTTCATTGATTCTTTACTTTTGTATTCCTTAAATTTCTTAAGTTTTATTAGTAATTACAGTTCAATAACAGCGGATACTATAGGGTGTTAAGTGTTAGCATTCAACTAAGTTCATTTTGAAACCATTTATATTTCTGTAGAATATGAAAGGAATGATTGATTTCATTTCAGGAAACTAGCCATTGTTAGAACAATTTAGTAAGTACTTTTAGACCTCTGAGATGGTGGAGAAAACTTGTAGCTCAGGTGGATGATTGTTGAGGTGTTTCGTTCTCTGAGCTGGTTGTTTTGGTTGTGGAGCTTTCATCTTTCTTCTGGCCAACATCATCAGCACAAACTTCAGATAGAAGTGGAGCATTCGAATTTCTCAACATTTGACCTGTAGCTTGTTCTGCTAACCTCGATCTTGATTGGTTGCTGTTGACCTTTAACCTGTCGTTGTTTACACCTTTGTTTTGATTGCATCCCCCTTTTGAACTGTTTCTTGATCCTATATCCCCTATGATTTTTCTGATTGGTTGATAAATTGGGTCAATGTTGATGTGTTTATTGATTGCTGATTGACCTGAATGTCAAGCTTCCTAAAATTCTCTAGTGTTCTTTGTCCTTCCCCCATCCAGTATTTCCACATTGTTCCAATCGAATGTATGTCCATAATTGTCGGTATTTATTGATATAAACGAAGAGTTGTCGTGGCGTTTGACTGCTAATTGGTGTTCACGTAAACGAAACTGGAGAGGCCGTCCACTTCAGAAAAGCTGAAATTTACGATCCGTGTGTGTGTGTGTGTGGGATCATGGTTAAGCACTACTGTTGAGTATCATACTGAAACGAAACTGATATCCAGTACTTCCATATTTCTAATGGTGGACCAAGATTCGTCAGTTTATTTAGGGGCAGAATTTTGGAGGTTTGTGTTTCTACACATTTGAAATCATCAATCATCATTGTTAGACCACCATTAGAAACCTGGAAGCACTGAAAGACGGCCGTTTAGTCCCGGTATGGGACTCGTCAGTAGCATTGAGCATCCACAACTCCTGCACCCTGCAGGACCCGAACCCGGGACCTTCGGTATTGTGCACGAACGCCCAACCAGTTTATAATTTCAATGAAACTCAACTATCTGCACAACCCTCATATTGATCAATCAATCAGCCAGTCAATCAGCAGCAACGTGGAACTTCACACGTACGTACATCAGTTCAAGTTGCCATACCACATTAGCGCACAGAGATGCAATTGTCACTTCAAATCCCATACTAGTAGAGGTAATAAAAGCATCAGCAGTAATCGGAGAAATCACGGTATGATACTTGAAACAAAGATTTATAAAACATAAATAAATCTATTCAAAAATGTCAGCTACTAATTTATTAAGTAAGCTCTTTAAGAGACATTGTTTTTTTTTCCGATAGTAATACAAGTATGTTTTGTATAATTTATTATACTTTTAATTTATTTCCAAGTAAATGTTAATGTGAAATACATTTTCAGTATTCTAGTAAATGCAACGACTAAGTTACATAGTTTGTAATTTGTGTTGAGATAAATTTACTAGTAATGTTCAGTGAAACTAACACTGAAAACACTGAGTATTGAATCGGTTTATCAAACTCCATATTGGATGGAAATTTAAAACACGAAGAAAATTATTATAAATTAGTAACAATTTACAAATTAGCACATTCAAATTAACACATGACATAAATGTGCAGCAGATTTGAAAAAGTCTTCTCATATTTATTCAAGCTACAACATAGGTAGAAATTCTACCATCGTTGTTGACTTACTTACTTAAGCTTGTTAGCCCTAATGGAAAATGGGCAGCCTACCAACATTCTCTATCATGAGCCTTCTTTTACAATAATTCTATCCAACTGCTGTTCATTCTTTACATGTGTGTCTTCATTTCTCTGAGTAATGAGTTCGCTGGTCTTCTTCTTCTTCTTCTGTTCCTCTAGCCTTGAGGAATTCAAGTGACGGCTAGTCTTGTGATACAGTTGGGTGATTCCCTCAGTGTGTGTCCCCCTATCCAATTCATTCGCTTTCTCCTGCTGGAATCTGGTTTCCAGTTGACGAGAGAAATTAATTCGAATCACTGTTCAGTAGTATTCTTTAATTAATGGCATTATAAATAAGATCGTCGTAGCCATAACTCAGAGAGTAATATTCACATCTCAACGAGGAAAGAATATACTATTAGACCTGAAAAAAGTCGACCACTTTGAAGTGTTGAAGGAAAAAAAGTGTTTTAACTATACATTCTACAAACTAACGAGCTAACTAACTAACCACGATTGTGTATTTGGTAAGCCTGTGGTTATAAGAAATGGTTATTTAGAAATACACAAGTTATTCTCTGTGATTTGGTCCTATATGCTTGGTACGGGAAAATCTTATAGTGGAGACGAATCACTTGTCTAGTGCTACAAGGTTTCTACAGGTGATTAGGTATCATTTTAAACAGTAAAGTTGTTAGACATTAACACCATTGGATGCCGGCCCAGAGTTCCGATGGTTAGGCGCTCGCGCACAATACCGCAGGTCCCGAGTTCGTATCCAGGAGTCATGGATGCGCACTGCTACTGATGAGTCCCATACCAGGATGAAACGGCCGCCGTCTTTCAGTGCTTCCAGATTTCTAATCGTCGTCTCACAATGATTGATTGATGATTTCAAATGTGTAAAAACACAAACCTCCAAAACTCTGCCCGAAAGGTGTTTATCTTTACCAGTAATAAAAATTATTATTCCCATGATTTTATTTACATCTTATTATAGAAAATTGATTGAATTACTTGATTGACAGTAAGATGTGATAATAAGGTGTGAAAATAATTCGTGTTCACAGTGTGATTCAATATGAATAATTCATGGACATATCCTATTAGGGGAAACCTATTTACGCTAACTGGTTTCGGTGAAGTTTCAATTCATTGAACTAGACAGTTTAATCTTGGTGATTTCTCATTGTTCTTTCGAATAACATCATCAGAAAAACCATGGGCAAATATAGGATCATGCAGGAAACAATCTATACGAATCGATAGACAGTAGCAGGTTAAAGTTTGACAATAGTCAATCAAGATTGGAGTTCGATAAAACAGGCTGTTATTTAACTGTAGATAAATTCAAATACTTTACTTCTACCTAAAGTTTGTGCTGTTGATATTGTGTTCAGAAGAGAAATAAAAGCTCCACAATTGAACTATCCAGTTCAAACGACATTAACTCATCCAATGGAGCCATGAATTTTCTTCATCATCTCAAGAATAACCATTTGGAATTTTAATGACCGCATGAATAATATCAAAGGATTCATAAAAGCTAAGTATCATTATTTTGTTTTAGTATACGACTCATTATCAGTGCTTAACAGCGGATTCGAGATAGTGTTTATTAACTTTAGCGACACAGATAGCTGTGTATTTGGTGGAGGTTCAAGGGTCAATAATCCACAAGAGATGTCTAACCGAATTCCAGGTATGTGCTACATACATACCAGAATCATGTAAGTTCAAGACCCACGCACTCCTTACACACACATAATTACAGGTGATTTATTGAGGTTTTTAACTATTGAAAACGAGAATCCAACTTGCGGCTAATGATATTAGTAAGTACATATTGAACGAACACTTGAAATATACAAATCGGCGGCAACTTATACACTTCATATATACATTAAGTCTCATCAGCGCTGATGGCTTGATGACTGAGGAAATCTTAGCACGGATACAGAAGGCTCGGTTGGCTTTAGCAAACCTGCGTCACCTATGGCGCAGGCAAGATATCCGCTTGCTAACAAAAGGACGAGTGTACGTTGCAGCAGTTCGTTCCGTCCTACTGTACCAATGCGAAACATGGCCGTTAAGAATAGAGGAATTTCGTAGGTTACTATTCTTCGATCATCGATATCTCCGAAGCATTGCTCGTGTATCCTGGGAAAACCGTATAAGCAATGCTGTCGTTAGGAAACGTGTTCTAGATAAGGATGGCAAATCAATAGATGAAGTAGTGAAACTTCATCAGTTGAGGTGGTTGGGACATGTGTTACATTTGCCTAACCATCGACTGCCTCGACGAGCTATGTTTTGTGGTGTAGGAGTAGACTGGAAGTAAGCTAGTGGTGGCCAAACCAAAACATGTCACAAATCCATGTAGACACTGACAAGTGGAATGAGTCATGTTGGTGGATATAGGCTACCTGCTTGGGGTCTGCGAGACGATAGTCACCGATGGTTAGAGACCTTGAACGACATGTCTCAGAATCGTTTGCAATGGCGCAGGTGTATCCACTCTTAGTCTTCTCTCTAATTCTAACCTTCCGAATTCCTCTTCACCTCTATCTTTCTCTTTCTAAATTTATCTTACTGAATTATACTTCTCGAATCATATCTTCGCTCCCTAATCTTCTCCATTACTGCTAATACTTGGATTTGAACTGACAGTTACGTTTCTGTGCTGACGTGGTATGGTATGGCAACCTGAACTGATGTACTTACGTACGATGTTCTGCGTTGTATTTGTCTATATATATATACACATGAGTATAGCCATTTCAAATGACTATACACGCATACGCATAGATTCACTCATATATCCAGTAAAAAATACAAGCTTGAAATGATGATGATTATGATAGAAATAAGTTTAGAAAATAAATCGTATATATTATAATATTTATTACTCTTGGGCATTTTACATTTGCAACATTAGTGTTTTTGTGCTTTTAAACTTTTTTTGTTTGTTTTTTATTTTTGTTAAAAATATTAGAAATTATGCAATAAAAAAAGAAATGGCAAACTAAACGAACTCTATCATTTTCATGTTTTTTAACTACAAAAAACAAAACACAAACAAAATTAAGCAACGAGAAAAAAGCGAGGGAGAAACGAAATCAAAACAAACATTCAAATGCAAAAAATAATAATAATAATAACAAAGAGAGAGAGAGCGAAAAAAGTTACAAAGAAACAAGAACAATAACTGTTGAACATTGAACATTGAAAACAAAACATTCAAGCATCTGTCTCTCTCTCTACAGCTATTTTATTTTTTTCGGCTCTTTTCGAAAGAAAGAAAGAAGGCGTAAAAAGGAGGTCGATCTGGCGGGCGCGCGGGTTTTTTTTTCGAATTTTCCCAATTTGTTTCTTGTTTCTTTGTTGTGTTTTTTTTTCATAGAAAAAAATATATTTGTTCACAAAAAATAATTTTGAAAATGAAAAAAACAAAACAAGAAATTATTTGAATCATTTCTAAATAATAAATAAATAAATGAATTTTTTTAAAAATAAAAAAAATGAAATTACATTAAATTATTATTGATGTGATTGCTAGTCTCGTCAATTAATTAGTTAGTTAGTTAGTTAGTTAGTTAGTTAGATAGATAGTAAATTATTACTAAAAATGTACACACAAAATATTATGTAAGTGGTAGGTGAAGGGAAAAAAAGGAGAAAAAATTAATCAATATTAATATTATTATTATTATTTTAATTATGATTATGATGATGATCATTAGTTGTCATTAGAAAACTATTCAATGAGAAAATTATTATTAATAATAATTTATTTCACCAGCAAAATGACTCCATGCTCGATAATGTGTGAATGAAGTGAAACCATCGAAATTCGGTCGATAATCCAGGGTGTACGATGAAGGCGGAGGCATATTCGTCGATTCAATGGTACAATGTTCAATATTTAAATTTAATGTTTTATCCATGCTAGATGATGATGATGATGGTGATGATGTAATCGATTTATTATTGAATGATGACGATAATGATAAAGAATGATCATTTGAATGATCACTGTCAACATTTAACATATTCATCATATAGATTGGATGATGATGTTTACGTTGTTCAATAATATAATTCTTATGATCATTATTATCCCAATATTCTGTTTTATGATTATCATTGTTTGATGCAATAAAACAAATAGCAAATTCAATTTTATCATTCACATCAAAATATGGTTGTTGATCTGATTTAATTGTAATATTAAATATAAATGTATCATAACGTTTCGGTCCAGACCATGTACCTGATGACAGTTGTGAACTATACACTGCTTGATAATCTGTATAAGTTTGCCAATTATTTTTAGTTAGACGTAAATATATAAATTTTTCAAAACAAATATTTTTAACTCTTATTGTACCAGAGAGTTTAACATCAGATGAAAATGATGGAAGATCAGTTGATGATGATTGAGTAAGATTAATACTTTCTAATGAAACAATATTTTGTTCAAGTTTTTGACGAAATTCATAATAACGTGAAGCTGGTTGAGAAAATGTTAAACTCCATATGTAATGTGATGATGATTCGATATCAGTAGTAGTATTGAAAGAATTTTTTGATTTAATCAATTCATTATGATTAGTTTTTTTTTCACATGGATTCAAGGTGATCGGCTTGAATTCCGTCTTGAAATATTCATCACCGTAAAATATTTGAAATTTCGATGAACGTTGTTTATATGGAGTATCCAATGATTTGTGCGGTTTTATTGAGCCAAAATTGAGATTTTCAAAACTATCGTATACTGATAGAGAGTTAAATAAATGAATGAAATAAATTAGTGAGTATTATTTATTCATTCAAAGGTTAAATTAATTTATCAAAATGCATTCAATCAGTCAGTCAGATGCAACGTAGAACTTTGTACGTCAGTACATCAACAGTTCATGTTGCCATACCACATCAGCACAGAGATATAATTGTCAATTCAAATCCAAGAGTGATAGACTTAGTAGAAGTATTAGCAGTAATGGAGAAGATTAGGGAGCAAAGATATAACTCGAAAAGTATAATTCTGTGAGATAAATTTAGAAGGACAAAGGTAGATATGATAAGGAATTCAGAAGGTTAGAATTAGAGAGAACACA